GAGCCATATTTCTGGCGCCCAGCTTTTCAAACTCTTCATACTCATGTCTTTCTGCTTCCTTCTGTTTTGGCTTGAAAAGACGTTTCTCATTCCTTCTGTTCTTCCAATATCTTTCATTAGTAGCGCTAGTTGCTGAATGCAGGATGGCTTGATATTCTGCATCTTTCTCTGGGGTGGCATCACAACATCTCCTCGTCATCTCTTCTGCAGCGGCAGGCATATGGTTTGTGGATCCATTATGCGGTTTTGTCAGATTCATTTTCCAGATACTTCGAGAATCGTGTAGCGAAGTCATTAACTATCTGTTGTGATTTCAACTTTTCAACGTTAAGCTTTCTCTGTGCTCATGTACATTGTTCACGTACCTTTTTCATCGCACACAAATGTGTGCGGATCTTGGCTACAACAAGATAATGATCCGAGTCGATATTGGCTCTTCGGATAGTACGTACATTAAAGACACTGTACGCATCCGTCCCTTCCGTCTATCACAACGCGATCAATTTATGATCTCGTGATTAGGTAACAGTCATGTTGCTTTATGTATGTTGCGATGCTAGAATCTGGTACTTTAAATCACCATGTATCTATATCACGCGAAATCAATCAATCTTTTTTCTTTTCGACAGTAGTATCAAATATACCTTCTTTACTCACCTTTACGTTAAAGTCTTTTACAACAATTTTGACGTCATGATGGGGACTGTGTTGAATGTATGTTATGGCTGTTTATAGTTTATTTGGTCTTTATCTTCCGTCAGAGCATGTGCACATATTAGGCTGATGTGGAAAAATTTTGCCTTAATATGAATTTTGCAAGCCTTTCGTTAATTGGGGTATATATATACCTTATGATCAAAAAAGAACGAGAATTTAAAAAAACGCTCAGCGAATTCTCTTTTATGGCCTTTATGGTCTCAAAACGCATTCCGCGCAATGGCAATTTGTGTCGGGGGAGAGAAAAAAGTCACACGGAGCCATATCTGGAGAGTACGGTGCTTGGTTGATGATATTGGTGGAGTTTTTGGCCAAAAACTGCGACACAACCGGTGCTTATCGTGGTGTAAAATCCATAAGGCCAAATAATAATCCTTATTGACCGTTACACCGTCCGGAAGGAATTCATAGTGCACTACATCACGAATATCGAAGAAAACAGTCAGCATAACCTTGATTTTGGACTGACTTTGTCGTTTTCTTTTCGGTTTCGGCTCACCTTCGAAGCACCATTCGGTCGATTGTTGTTTGGTGGTCAAATTGGCATGTCAAATTCATAGACCCATGTGTCATCATCAGTTATGATGCGTTCGATGAATGTGGGGTCACTATCTGCGTTGAAAATCATCCCTTTGGCTACATCACATCGAGGTTTTTTAGCTTTTTTGGCACCAGTCGAGAAGCGATGCGTTTCAAACATCACCAAAAACATCACTTAAAATGTGTTCGGCCGATCCATATGAGATGCCCAACAACACTACAATCTCTATTCGATTCACAACGATTTTCCAACACGATGCAATGTTTTCTTCAGTAACAGATGTTGTTGGGCGGCCAGGGATCTCATCATGGTTCAAGCTTGTACGACCGTCTTTGAACTTTTTAAACCATTCGAATACTCGTGGTTGCGACACACAGAAATCACCAAAGGCCTTTTTTAACATTTTCAAAGTCTCGGCACACTTGAATCCATTTGCAACACAAAATGTGATGCACGCACGTTGTTCTAATTTTTGATTCATTATAAAAATCGCCACACGAACATTTTTCGACTTCTTCGTATAGACGCCAAACAAAAACTAAACGTACGATATGCATTAAACTTTGACAGAATGTGTATAATAGTGTTGCCAGCGTGAAAATAAAAAAATTTACCATACGCGCGAGAATTCAAAAATTAAAATTATCTTTTCTGACGTGCTCAAGCACGTCAAAAGCACTGTTGTATTTCTGACACCCAACCAACTACCAGGTACTTGTACTCCGCTACCGACTACTTTACATACATATTTATATATATATATATGGTATATTGTAAGACGTTGGAAGAGCGCACCGTTCAACAAGTGGCCCCGCTGTAGTGAAGGATTAGCCGAAGTAGTCCATGAAACGACATGGGTCCTTTTTCGTTCTTCCGCTCGCATAACTACATCGCTAGTTAATGCAAGCAGCTCATTTAGCTTGAGGTTGCCCGCCAAGTCATCATCAATCCAATGTTGTTCCAAGACAATCTTTCTTCTGCATGCCAGTGCTGGACATTGGCACAATATATGCACAGCTGTTTATTTATCTTCTACACATAGTCTGCAAGTGACTTCCATAGCAAGAGTTATCTTTCTGAGGAGATACTTGAAGTTTCCATGTCCCGTAATCAATAAGGTCAGCCATCAATGGGGTAAATGTGGGTACCAAATTTCTCAACTTCCAGCTTACCGCAAATTCGACGCTGAATTCGTGCTTTATAGCATGGAATGTAGTAGACGTAGATGTTACAATGATCTCGTTTAGGGCACCCTTGTCCCGTCCATCACATTTCCAGGAAAGCGGTAATGTCAGCCTTATATTTGTTAAGGTCATTAACCAGATGTGTAGATGCACCTTGTCAAGGAAACTTCCTTGTTCGAGTTAAATCTTCCTTTCTATTAGATTTATAGTTTTACATGGTGAGATTCAAGCTCGACATAAAACCTGATATAGCCATGAGGATGATTTCGCTGCACACATTAGATTGTAGTTATCTGGAGTGTCAGTTTGCAGAGAACAGTGACAAGGATCGTGCTGCCATTTTCAAAGTTAAATACAATCAGACACGTTACCTTGTTTCTTCATCCCTTCCGCTTTCACATAGACATATGGTATTTTAATATTAAATTCAAAAAAGTTACTGAAATTACATATTTTTTTAAAATTCGGAAATTCTTTATGTCTGCAGTTAAGATAAATTTTTCTCTTATTTTTGATGGTGAAATGATGGTATTATTATTGTATATATCCAAACTATTAGATTTTTAATATTATTTAATTTATTTAAACAACTGATATACTTAACTCAGATTTATAATTATTTATTTAAGCAGACAAGACATATTGTTTAAGTCTTGTCTGCTTCGCACTTCCACAACTACTACAACTTGACGCCGCAGGGTTCTATTTACCTTCAATAATTATAATAATCAATTGCTTTTAGTATTTGATGTTTAGTTGACAATTCTTCTGCTAAATTTAAATATTTTATTTTTTCTGTTTTTCAAATGCTCAACATCAGAATTTCTGAAACTGATTTAGAGAAATAAACATTAATGCCTCCATGTTAAAACAGTTTGATTTTAATCGAATTTAACTCTGCAAGATAGCTTAGAATTGACAAGGTATCTATGTGAATAATTTCATATATTGCACAAGCTGTTTCATTAAAAGCAAACATATTTTTAATGGGTGTTCTATTAAATTTTGTAGCAGAAAATAATTTAAAATAGTTTACGTCCTTATTTATTAGAGTTTGTAAATGTGAATAATAAACTTTTTGCTTTAATTCCATATGAAGACAATAACTGTATGCCCTGATTCTTTTGTATGGAATAACGAAATTTGTTTGGAATTTTCGCTTTCTCTGCTTAAATCTTCTATAAAATAGTTACAGATAATAAATTTAGTTTTGTTGTTATTATTATATGCACCAATGATTGATTCGGGGTTGTAAAATATTGTCCTGTAGGGTAAAGTAATTTGCTACCTTTCCACTTTTAAAATACCATCTTAATATATCTAAAATATTTCTTTTTGAACATTTATGTCATAGACAAATAGATGTCAAAGTATGGTTAAATTAATTTTTTCTTTCTCTAGAAAATCACTCTTATTGCACTGATTTTTATACCTAAAACTTTTAAATCACAAAAGTGAGATATGAGAGTTTCATTGTCACAGGTGCGTCTATTTATACCAAGCAGTTTTACCTCAATTTGATAGTTCACACATATTCTAGATCAACTTTTATTTGTATTAATTTTAATGTTACACTTTTCTTTTCAATTCAAATATTGGTTGCAATTTGATCAATTATAATTTTATTTTCATCACTTGGATTTCCTTTTAGTATCGAAAATAATATTGACTCGAACTATGCCGTCAACATCATCGTTTGTTTTATTAATACGACTAAGGACCTATTAAAATATTGTAACGGTATGTTTCTCTCACTGTCCTCACAACTCATCAAAATGCAGAATATCGCATTGTAGACTTTAAGAGATATTTGTTCTCGAATTTTATAATTTACTCATGTGGGGCCGTAATAATCTACACATAAATTCAAGAATGGGTTTACACCGTTCATCATTTATTAATATGCATAAACTTACAAGTTGATTTGATTTGCGTATTAACCAGTAAATTTATAATTCTTTGATTTTTACGCCGCTGCACAACAGTTATATTTTTGTAACCACAATTAATTCATATATATTTTCGCATATAGCATTACTGATCCAAAGATTGCTAATGGATCAAATATTTTAGCTAGTTCTGACTATTTTAGTCAGTTTACAAGACTATTTCTCGAAATGAAGTTGTTTCCAAATTGATTTGAATAGATTGTTAAGCGTACGGTATGGCATGTTGCGCCGTCTTGTTGAAACCAAATGTCGTCGATGTTTAAGTGAACAATTTTTTTAAACAAAAAAACCTTATTTGGTTTTCAAAAATGAAATTTCAGTGCTTGATGAACTTTGCGTAGATATCAAATGCAAATGCCACTTTTCAATAAAGAAGTCGATCGATGGACAAATGGTGGTATCTGAAAACCTGTGAAGTTTTCCCAATGGGCTTCGCCTATCGTGCTAGCACCAAAAGCTGATGGTTCCTTAATAATTTGTGGGGATTTTAAGTAAGCAGTCAATGCACAAATTGACATTGAAAAATATCCTTTGCACATACGCGAAAGTCTTTTCCATAAAATTCATTGCGGTCAACATTTTACAAAAATCGACCTTAAGGATGCGTATTTGAGGCAAAAACAATAATGGTTGTCAACACTTCGCTTGGATTATTTCAATACCAAAGTTTACCGTTTAGAATTGCAAGCGCTCCAGCTATATTCCAAAGATATCTTGAGCAGTTACTTCAAGGCGCAGAAGGTTGCGGAAATTATCTCAATGACATCATCATCTCTGCATCTACATTTCAACAACACATCAGCCGCCTAGAACAAGTACTTCGAATTTTGCAACAAAATGGTATCAGATGCAAGCAAGAAAAATGTTTCTTTCTACGAGATAAAACCGAGTATCTTGGGCCTCAAATTAGTGCAAAAACATTTTGCCAGATGAGTCAGGACTAAAAGCAGTCAAAATCTAGAATGCTTTAGAGCAAGCAAAAGCATTCATGGGCAAGGTGAACTACTACCATAATTTTATACCTAATTTCTCGCAATCATCCGCGCCAATCAACATGCTGCGTCGGAAAAATGTAAAATTCACATGGGGTTCTGCACAACAACAAGCATTTATAGCTCTTAAGATGCATATTCTCAATGCAGCGCATTATCAGGAACAGCTACCGTTGGTTCTAGCTATAGATGCCTCCTCCTATGGCATAGGAGTCGTGCTCTTGCATACGTACGTTGACGGTACAGAAAGGCCTATTGCTTCTGCATCTAAATCTCTCGAGCATTTTCAATCCAACTCATCAGTTGCCGTCGATGACGACATATCGTTTACAGCGATGGGCTATTATACTAATGGCTTATCAGTATGTTATGATGTTCGGTATCGTAAAACTACTGACCATGGAAATGCCGATGCTTTATTTCATTTACAGATACCATGAGCGAAGTTCTAATAGTAGTTAAGCAAATGTTAGAACAAATCACTACGTTAATGAATGTTCTTGTCACGCTGACGACTAAATTATGTCCGACAGTGAATTAAATATAGTGCTCTGTAATGCGAATGGGCTGTCAAAACATTGTTTAGAGCTACAAGAATTTTTAAAAGATCAAAAAGTAGACATCATGCTAATATCCGAAACACGTTTTACTTCAAAACATTATTTTAAAGTACCAGGCTATGACTTTTACCACACTATGCATCCCGATGGAACGGCTCATGGGGGAAGTGGCATTTTAGTTAAAACAAATATATTACACTTTGAAATGCAACAATACCGCACTGAAGAGATTCAAGCAACCAGCATATCAGTAAAAGATTGGTGTGGCTCAATCACAATAACATCAGTATACTGTCCACCAAAACACGCAACTAAGACGGCAACATATAAAAAATTCTTTAGAACCTTAGGTAACAGATTTATTGCGGGGGGAGATTTTAATGCTAAACACGTTGAATGGGGCTCTCGGCTTTCAACACCCAAAGGACGACAGATGCTTGCGGCTATAAGAAGCGAAAACCTTTCAACTATCTCGTCTGGAGAACCAACTTATTGGCCCACGGATCCCAAAAAAAATGCCAGACTTGTTAGACTTTTGTGTTACTAAAGGAGTGCGACAAAACGACACTTTCTGTAAATCTAGCTTTGATCTTTCATCAGATCACTCGCCAGTATTATTACGGATAAAATCGAATATACAACTTAAAGTTCAAAAATGTTATCTGCACAACAAATTAACCAACTGGGATGCCTTTAGGCATACACTTAAGGCATTACTTGATGAAAAAACGGCGCTTAAAACAGACGAAGAAATTGCGCTTGCAACTGAACATCTTATAAGGAGTATTCAACAATCAGCCTGGAGATCCACGCCTTCAAACATGCAACAATTCGCCACACCATTATGTAGTACGACTCAAGAACTTATAAGAGCCAAAAGAGCAGCCAGAAGGCGCTGGCAACAAACCAAATCTCCGAAAGATAAAAAACTTTTTAATGTGCTGATCAAAAATCTAAAAGAACATCTGAAAACAACCAGAAATTTGGAAATACAAAGAAATCTCCAAAGACTAGACGCAACTACTTCCACCAACTACTCTCTCTGGCGAGCAATCAAGAAACAGACAACAACGCACAATGCACCAGTAAAAAACGAACTTGGGCAATGGGCCCGAACAGATACAGAAAAATGTAAAGTATTTACGGACCATCTGTCTTCAGTTTTTGTTCCAAACATTAATGAAGCCCCAAATAGTATATCTGAAGAGATTAGAGAGACCAACTGGACCTTCCAATACAAAAATTCTCCATTTTCGACATAAAATTTGAAATCAAAAAACTAAAAATAAATAAAGCACCCGGCTATGACCTAATTACTTCAAAAATATTAAAGGAGTTACCGGATGAAGCAATAGTATTGCTGCGAAACATTTTTAATTCTATTGTCACAAAAGGCTTTATCCCTCCCCAATTCAAGGTGGCTCAAATCACCATGATACTCAAACCTGGGAAAACGGCAAAAGATGTTAAGTCATATAGACCAATTAGTCTTCTACCGGTTATGTCAAAGTTGTTGGAAAATTTATTTCTTACCAGATTAATGCCCATTGTCAATAGAAGGAGACTAATTCCGGAATATCAATTTGGTTTTAGAAAAAAACACAGTACAATAGAGCAAGTACACAGAGTGGTTAATGTCATACATACAGCATTTGACAAAAAGAAGTACTGCACAGCAGCATTTCTGGACATATCCCAGGCATTTGATAAAGTTTGGCATAACGGCCTATTGTTTAAGCTTAAAAAGATGCTCCCAATTAATTACTATATTTTCTTAAAATCTTACATCGAATCACGATATTTCTTTGTAAAACAGGGGGATGAAATGTCAACTTTGCAGCCAATTCAGGCTGGAGTGCCACAAGGCAGTGTCTTGGGACCAGTGTTATACTTACTCTTCACTAACGACTTGCCTACCACCGTTGGTACTGAGATTGGAACTTTTGCCGATGATACTGTGGTAATTGCTACAGACGAAAATCACCAGTTAGCATCAAACAAACTCCAGCGAGCACTAGATAACATTTCCCAGTGGCTTAAAACCTGGAGAATAAAAGCAAATGAGACTAAGTCTTCACAAATAACCTTTACAATGAGAAGGAAAAATTGCCCTCCGGTACGACTTAACGATATCTTAATCCCTCAATCTACCCAAGTGAAATATTTAGGAATACACTTTGACACAAAACTAACTTGGAAGCACCATATTTTTACCAAAAGAAAAGCACTTGGCATCAGAATGCGGGAGCTCTACTGGATACTAAACAAAAGTTCAAAGCTTTCCGTGGAAAATAAACTTCTTATCTACAAAGCGATACTCAAACCAATCTGGACATATGGCATTGAACTCTGGGGAACTGCTGCATCTTCAAATATTGAGATTATTCAACGTTTTCAATCAAAAACCCTTAGATTAATCTTAGATGCTCCTAGATATATAACAAATGAATGTATACATCGCGATCTCAACGTTCCGGTAGTTAAGGATGTCATAAAAAGCCAAGCCAGTAAATACAAAAAACGTATGTTACATCATCCCAACCTCTTTATGAGCAGAATTATAGCAGAAGGAAGAACGTTCACACGCCTCCGCAAACAAACGCCATTGGAACTTTAATGTGTCCGACTTCAACAGACGGATGTGCTACTGAGCTCAGTCCATTCAAGCTCAAAATGGTCTTTTAAGTATTTAGTCACTTTTAAATATTGTTTATTGTCTACTCTGAATTGACAGATCGCAATAAAAGAAAATAAAATTAAAAAAAAAAAAAAAAAAAAAATAAAAAAAAAAAAAATTTCATTAACCCGTTGGTGATAAAACTTTTGATCATGAAGAATCCTGTTTCAACTGAAATGAATTTAACACACCTATCGACGCTGAAATAATTCGTCAGCATGCCAAAAATGATTCAATCCTTCGCCGAGTTTATTTTCTCGTTACAAACGGTTGGCCTGAAAAGCTAATGCCACAAGATGCTGATCTTCGATCATTTTTCAATCATCGCTTTGCTTTAATGCTAAATAACAATTTGTTTTGCCTCCAGACGGAGTACAACCGGGTTGTCATTCCAGCCTCCCTTAAGCAGAAAGTTGTTAAACTTCTTCATAATGGTCATTGGGAAGTATCGAAAATGAAACAGCTAGCTCGACAACATGTCTGGTGGACTTTGTAAAGAACCTTTTTACCAGCCGAGGTTTTGCTCGCCCGGATCCATAGTCGTTACAAGAATATTTCTTATAACCGTTGGATAGAGGATGCGTTTTAACTAAAACCATATCGCCAATCTGTGGTTTCCATGCCCTATGTCGTAAATTATAGTGCTTGGCTTGGTCTTGGGAAGCTGACTGTAGGTTAAGTTTCACAATTTGTTGTATTTCTTGCATTTCGTGTTGCTTGGTTTCAAGGGGTATCGGTGCGCAGTTTGTTCCAAGTGTGGTTTCATCGAAGAGTGCACTTGGGAGTCTGGGGGTTCTTCCGTGTATAATATAAGCTGGACTGTAACCCGTAGATGTGGATACGCTGGAGTTGAGTGCTAACATTATTTCAGGTAGATGCTCGTCCCATTTTCGCTGTTCCTGTTCTGATACTTGTGCAATTATTGTTTTTAACGTACGATTGGTGCGTTCTACCGGATTC